CAGACGCTCTAACCACAGCACCACACGGGCGACTTCTTAGATTTAAAATAAAATGATATGCATTAATTTTAAAACTGCATTAGAAATTAATATACCCCTGTGCCCTTTGCATATAGTAGAATGTTACATCAATTTGCTTTGTTCCTCTTTTTCATTCATTTGGTACAGAAAGACATGTGTCAATATTGCCTTGAAAATAATTATTAAATGAATTTAAATTGATCAATTTATTTCAGTCTAGTCATTTTTTTTTCTTATTCTTATCTACCCAAATTTGGATCTTCACACCTGTCAGAGTAAATCTATCTTTTTTTATCATTATTTTATTTCTTTAAGTTCATTGCATAAAAAAAGACATTTTATACTTTGGTATAATGAATATTTTACATGTACCGGGTATTTACATGTTATACTTTGAAAGTACATGCATGAATAGGCCATTCACAGCATATATAGTAATCAAACTACACTATCCAAAAATGTGCATCCTTCTTATTTAAAATTTTAAATTACCTCCAATATCATGAATATAGGAAAATATTTACCCTCTTAGGCTGTGAGTTTTCTCAATGTACTTCCTTCTAAATCATATCCCCATTTATGATATGACCTGCCTCACGCATCCTGTAGAAAGTTACATGTAAACAGATCTGAGTTAACAGACGCAGTTAAATTTGTAACAGAATAGTCATGGCTTATTATCAAATTACGCTGTGTGAAAAATCTATAAAAGACAAAAACTTTTTAAATGACAATTTATAACATACACTTCTACGCAGATAAAAAGGGGTATTTTATAGGGACCATCTCAAAATACAGGTACATGAAGAATTTCCTGAGATGAGTGGGATCTTGAATAATTTTGGCAACTCAGAGCAAATTATACACATTTTCCCCATTAAATTATAATATCAGATGGTTCATTCTAAAAAATACAACTGTATGAACACAAAAACATCATTCCAATGGTTTCCAGCAGAGACATAAATAAGTTATGTCTCTGTTTCCAGTTTCCTCATCATGATTCATGTTTCATTCGGAAGCACATTTCTCAGTATATATCGAACACTTAAATTCAATACAGATAGTAATTTGCAAGCTACTAAAAGAATGCTAAATAGCAAAAATTCAACATACAATATGTGTGATGATGCTCCTGAGAAAAATGAGATGGGATGTTTACGTTTGGTATTTTTGAATTAGCGATCCCAATTACATTTATCATTGATCAACGTGTATTTAGAAATTTGTATACTTAAAAAAACTTTTTTCAACGAGAAGATCCATTAATACATTAACATATAACTTAAAACATTATTACCATGATTACGATAAAGCCAATGAATACCTCTTTGAACAGGGAGAAAAATCTTGTATTCCGGTCGGGCGCGACAATCCGAAAAAACTTACAACAAAAATATTAATGGCAGAAACAAACATTGAAACTGACATATTTTTCAATTTTTACACAAATAGGAATATCCGTTGAGACGGAAATCGTCAACAAGTAAGTTTATATATAAATTTGTAACCATTGTAAATATATCACGTCAAGCTACTTTGTGTCGTCACTCTTGACTTTCAATGGGTTCACTGACATCTGACATTCAATGGTTATTACCTGATTACATCCTTTGTTCAGGTCCAGCACAATCTCTTGATTAAGCTAAATAGCTTTAAAAAGCTATGTAGCTTTATTAAGCTACTCAGAATAGCTTGATAAAGCTATTTGTATGTAGTTTTTTACAAAAACATTTTTTGAAAGAAATAAACAAAAAGTCGCAAGTATTTGACTATTCATATATGTATTATTGACTACCAAAAATACAACCTAAATCATAGAAAATTCTTACATTGCTGCTGTTGAATACTTTAAGCAAAATAAGAATTTCCATTGTTTGGGTAACTGTGTGAGCGGTGAGGCATAGGTAAGTATGATTGCTTCTCATTGTGCTGAACAGTTACTAATCAATTATCCTGTTGGCCATAACTGGCCTCCTTTATAATTTCATTCAAGAAATAACTGTGTTATCACTCATCAATAGCCCCAAAACTTTTAAATCTTTGAGTACAAAGTCTCTCAAGGAGACGCAATTTGGTGAGTAATTTTTACATGCATTGTATTCAGAAGAGTACAAAGTTTAATATTTCCACTGCACCTAGGTGCGACTTTTTGCATATGTTGAAAAAATAACACATTTGAGAAAAAAGTCTGACAAAATACCTTAATCAAGCTATTCTGAATAGCTTAATAAAGCTATATAGCTAAATCAAGCTATATAGCTTAATCAAGACATTGTGCCGGACCTGTTGTTATTACATGCACAAAGTCTGACTCTGAGGGAAATTGTTTAAACAGCTAAACAAAATTCATTGAAAAATCAAAATGACATGTCTGGAGTAACTAGTTGATAATTATAGACATAACTTTATGAACTATTAGATTATAGATAAGAAAGTTTGGGTCCAGGTTCCAAGTCATATTTTTCAAAATTTTCAGTGTTAAGTCATAAATATATTGCTAGAGCACTTCCTTCCAAAATATATTAAAAGCATGGTTAGAAATTTTATTATTTGGAGAATACTTGCACTATGAATTTTAGGACATGTTTGATTGACACGTAAATTTATTGGTTACTTTCACAAACTAAACTTTATCATGTTTATTCTTAATAAATTTTGTTGCATATTAATGAAAAATATTTAATTGTAATCAAGAAAATTTAGAGTAGAAATTTTAGAAAGCAAAACCAACTCAACAGTATTATCATGATTATAATAACTTTAACCTGATTTAGTTAATATTTTACTGCATTGCATAATAGATAATCGAAATAGTTATTACTTCATGATTTTGAGAGAAGATTTAGAAAATGAATTATGCACTACTGGGGCCAAAAAATAAAATTAGCTTTATTTGGCATTGCTGGCCGACTCAGGTAAATTGATGCGGTCCGAAGAATTTTTTTCATTTGATACAGATCGTAATTTTTTTCGATATAATTTTCGGGATTTAGGTGTCTGTACGTATGAGTAATATACAAAATAGGATCATCATGTAAAAGCTTGATTGATCGAATAGTTTTCATTTAAAAGCGTCTATGTGATGTTGAATATGCGTATCAATCATCACAAATCCAAGCATGGCTGTTGAAAGCGGTAATGTAAACTCGGTTTAACAGAAGATGATGGCATGACTATCCGCAGTGATGTAATTTAAAATGGCAAAGATATACTGACAAATCACTTATACCAGTTTGAAAAAGAAATTTCAAGGTACAATGTCCTGTCCGATTTGCTAGACGAATCTAGCGGCCGTGCTTGGATCCATGCATACGAAAATTGAAAAAAAATACTTCCCCTACCTACCAACCCAAATATATTAAGACTAAGTCGGCAATGCCAAACCAACAATATTTTAATTGTGGCTTGGTAGAATAAGATTCAATATTTGAAATGTTACTTTCTATTTACAGATAAAACCATGCCACTGTCTCCAAGAAAAATGTTGCGACAATTAGTGCAGCAACAAAACAATGCTGAACTTATTAATAATTTAAAAGACAGTACTTTACCTTTGATGGAAATGTCTCTAAAGGCTGGAAATCATTTTGAAAAAATTGTGAAAGGACTTGATGATCTACGACAAAAATCTTTACTCTGTGACTACACTTTGAAAGCAGACGATGAAAGCTTTGCAGTCCACAAGGTTGTCATGGTGGCATGCAGTGATTATTTTCAAGCAATGCTGACCAGTAATATGAAAGAATGCCACGAGAATACAGTGGAGTTGAAAGGAATTTCAGGCAATGGTTTGAAGATCATTGTAGACTTTGCATACACAGGGGAACTTAAGTTAAACACACAGAATGTTGAAGATGTTCTATCTGCTGCAACACATTTACAAGTCAGTGATGCTATGGATCTGTGCAGCACATATCTCGAAGCCTCCATCTCTGTGCGTAACTGTGTTGACATTCTAAACATTGCAGAGCTGTATTCCTTAGAGCCCTTATGTCAAGCTTCTAGACGATTCATGCTTCACAACTTTGAGGAACTGTCAGAATCAGAACAGTATTCAATGCTGAATAACGTACAGTTATCACAGCTCCTGGCAGAAAACAGCCTCCGTGTGTCCTCAGAGTTCACACTGTTCAACCTTGTTCTGAAGTGGATTCGATATGATCCAGCAGAGAGAGAACAATTCGTGTCTGAACTGATTGAAAATATCAAGTTTCCCTTGATGACAGGAGAAGAACTTGTGGAGAAAGTCAGTAAGGTTCCAATAATGAAGCAGCATCCTGAATGCAGCAGTCTGCTTACTGAAGCCAAAGATTATCACATTGTAGTCAGCAAGCAACCTTTGCTCCAGAACAAGAGAACAAAGGTCCGATCAGATGCACCAGTTCTAGTCATGTGCCATGCTTCAAATCTGGAGACATTCAATTTCAGAAATACCAAACGCGGCTACCTAAAGGAGGCTATAGTTCCATTGTACAATCCATCAGTAGCTGTTGTGGATAACTTTTTGTACACATGTGGAGGAAAGTATGAAGGGGCAGGAAGTAGCACAGACATTGCAACAGCCCGTTGCTTCAGATACGATCCAAGGTTTGACACATGGTTTGAGTTAGCTCCCATGAATGAACCTAGGAAAGACTTTGTGATGCTGGCATTGGACACCAAGCTTTATGCAATTGCTGGGCAGGATGAAAACAAGGTAATGCATACTGTGGAATGCTATGACATCATGAGCAATGAATGGGAGATGAAGCAGCCATTGAGTCGGCATGTTTATGGCCATGCTGGGTGTGTGTGCAGTGGCAAAATCTATGTGTCTGGTGGACAAGTGTTTGTTGGAACATGGAAAAAATTCTTTGCTTATACCCCAGAAGAGGATACCTGGGAAGAGAGAGCCCCAATGCTGCAGAATAGGCTTAACCATATCATGATGGAAGTGAAGGACAAGATCTACGTTATTGGAGGTAACATTGAGGATGCGTATGGGTTTCCTATCCCCATTACAGAAATTGAAAGATACTGTCCAAGGGCCAATCAGTGGACAGTCTGCAAAGCCAAGTTTAACATCCGTGAGGCAGGGTCCTGTGTTCTGAACAATACAATTTTGATTGTTGGAGGGATAGGTGGAGAGCATTACCTGTCTGAGTATGTTCAGAGATATGACCCAGAAAAAGACAAAGTTGAGATTGTAGAACACTTTGCTACAAGAATCAATGGAAAAGCTTGTGCTATTTTAACTCTTCCTCACTTTATTTGAATACCAGTAAATGGCAAAAAGTATTATTAAACTAAAGGCCACAAAAATACAAACTGTTACAGGTGCTGTAAATTAATCCCTTAGATAACAGAGTGTACTAGTGATTATTATATATCAATCAGGGAAGAGATGGTGCAAGTACTTATATGTATCATAGTTTTAAAACTTGTGTGTGTTGGGGGGTGGGGGGTGGATTGTTACATATGCATTGCTACTTTCTAAGACTAAAATAGTCATGATTATTCAAACGCTTGCCTTTACATCTTTGCGATAGAGTTGAAGCATCTTGATGATCAAGACTAGGACTGAAATAATTTTGCTGAATTAGTTCATCCTTTTAATTATGTCAATGTAGCACTTATTCGTTATTGTTCATTGGTTTGTTTTTTTTTTTTGAAAGGAATATCAAGAATAATAAATAATAAAAATCATAAAGCATAAAAATTATTGCTTACTCGAGTTGTACATTGATTATGGTTTTTTTTTTCTAGTATCTTAAAATTATAAGAATTTGCAAAGAATGTACCGGCCAATATTCAGCAAAATTTAAAATGAAAGATACTTATATGATTTTTATGCATCTATGCTTGCATAGTAGTATGTGTAGTTACAATTTTTTTTAATCATCATGATCATATCAGACAATACATGACTACATGTAGTACTTATCATCACTAGTACTATGTTTCACATGGCAAGACTTGAATAAATTTTACAGGGTTTCCCCTGACTATCTTCATCTATATCAATAAGAATGATTCTGTATGACTATTTATAGATGAGCTTGTAGAATTCTGATTGTTTTCTATTTATTGACAAAATTCGTTAGTTTTTATTATAAAATGTGTGTTAAATCTGATTGAATGTTTTCAGATACTAGTACATGTATATTAAGCATTGAAAGTTGCAGTTTTAATTCTTTTGTTTTTATAGAAATAAACAAAATAAGATCACTAAAATTGTCACAGACATTATTTTCCAAGAGTTTCCTTAGCTTTCTATAAACATTACAGGGATTTTTTCCCACCCTTAGTCAACATCATGATCTTACAAAATAGTCTCTGTCTCTCTCTCTGGATTCTTTCTGTACTTGTACTTTTCACTTTACATAGTGATCTTTTAGCACTGAAATGAACATGTGTTAGTTTTATGTACATGTACTTAGTCTACCTTTACCTATGGAGAGAATGATTATTTAAGGAGTTGCTATCTAGTCAGTAGAGTAAGCCAGAACATCAATGATAGCTGGAAACAGGGGATAATTCACATCCTAGACGGTGATTCCTTATATTTTCATTTCATTGTGAAATGAAAGAAAAAGTGAGCAAGATCACATACCCCATGCTCCCCCAAAAGTCGAAGTGCTGAAATTCCCGGAAAAAAAAAGAATCAGAATTTCCTGGTAATATGCACATCTATACATTGGGTCCTAAATATCTGCAAAGTTTGATGAAATTCTGTGCAGCGGTTTATGAGGAGTTGCGCTGGCAAACTGTTCATCTCTATATTCAAGATATAGCCAAAAATCTTAGTTGAAAAGTACGGAAATTCCCGGAAAAAATAAAGGAATCGGAATTTCCTGGTAATATGCACATCTACACGTTTTGCCCTAAATATCTGCAAAGTTTGGTGAAATTCTGTGCAGCGGTTTATGAAGAGTTGCGCTGACAAAAAAAAAAAAGACTGACTGACGGACGGGTCAAAAACATTTTTAAATACCTCACGCAACTTGTTGCGCGGGGTATAATAAACTGTACATTTAGATTTTAAAAATGTAGTTTAACTAAGGAGTGAACTACAGTATGAATAGTACAATATAAAAATTTGCTTGTCACTAAATTTTTACTCACAAAAACGTCCAAGCACAGGCACAGTCGCACACAAAGTTAAGATGTTGGATATTTTTCAATGAGAAAAGAAGCAAACCTTAACTCAGGTGAGCTATACGAACCATGAACATACCGTATTAAATGTAAAAACAATGCACAATGTGAAAAGGATGATCAAAGAGTAATTCAAAATGAAATATTGATGCTTTCACTTGTAAAAATTTATTTTGATTTGAACTCGGTTAATTTAACAAATTCACATAATACATATACTTGACAAAATTCTATATCTCTGCTACTGGGAACAATGTCTCAGTTTGGTTGGAAGATAAACATTTACAAGGAAAGACGATGATATGGAATCAAGACTCTCAATTTCAGCCTTTTTGCCAAGTTCCAACAAAACATTCAGTTCCTTGTACAGAAGCTGCGATTCAGAAACATACGGTCGTGCTAAAATGTCACTTATTTTACTTTTGTCTGAGGGCTTTAACTCTATAAGACTATCTTCCTTCAGTCGCAGACGTTGAATGTCACTTGGTAAAACTCCCAGCCATTCCAGATCAGGCACGGTCAACATGGGGGCCTCGAAGGACAAAGAGCGGGATCCAAATTTGTAAATGGACATAATCTCTATTCCATAAGGGTCTGCATCCACAAGAACAAAAAATCTCGGAGAAAACTCTCTCCACAGTCTGTTTAAAAGCATTCTAGTGTTCATGTCGGGAAAACCTTTTCCTGTTACAATGATGCAAGGACGCATCAATTCACAAAATCCCTCGCTTAATAAACGTTGGAAAATCGCATCCTTTTCTACGACTAAAATAAAATCCGCATCCGTCTGAATATGCTGCATACCTGTAATATGACTAGGAACTTGGATCCCTGACATGGTCTTGCTACAGTCTACGTAGTTACCATCAACATCATAAAAGGACAAATTTCCTGCAATGCATCCTTTTGAGGTAGCCAGCACGTGTAGACGCCATCTTGGTACTTGGAGCATGCAGGAGATATTTTCTAACGCCTCGTCTAATGATCCTTGGTTTCCAAACAAGGTGGTGTCTTGGTAATACAAATCACGCTTGGTACAAAATCTGTCTGTCTGAATTAGACCATACACCATCGACAAAAGTTTTATCATCAATGTAAATTTCTTTAGGGATAGCCTGGAATCAAAGCGAACTGAAGTCATCTTCATGGCATCGTTGACATAGAGACCTACATTTTTTTCATATGAAATGTTTTGCCAGGTTCCTCTGTTAAAATGACTCAGAACTGGTGGCTTGTTGTCGCTGATTTGCTGAATGACGGACAACATAACATCATCAATTCGAGATAGGATTGAATTATCGTCAGTTTCAAAATCGTGTGATGCCATCTGAAAAAAGTGTAAACTATATATGGCATTTTTAACAAGCATTCCAAGAGCATATATGGCAAAGCACGGGATTAAGTAATGTAATCATTTCCGAATTCACATACTCTACATAATTCTATAGATCAATTGACAAATGATTTCTTTTTTCGGAATTCTATCCCCCTCCGGAAAAATTCCTGAATTAGCCCTTTCCGTTTTATTTCATTTTCGAAGAGTTTTAATTTAAATACTGTGGTCTCCATGGCGTAAAGATCTGTAAGCTAGCTACGCTACTTTTTGCCCCTTAGGTACTTCATATAAATTATTTTCAAAAGATACTAATTACATTTAAGGAATCACTGTCTAGTTAGTATAGTATGCCAGGGTATCAACGATAGCGGGAAGCATGGGATAATTTGCATAACGGGCGAAGCCCGTTATGCATAAATTATCCCATGTTTCCCACTATCGTTGATGTCCCTGGCATACTATACTAACCAGACAGTGATTCCTTATATTTCCATTTCATTGGGAAATAAAATTGTAGATTTAGACTTTAAAAATGTAGACATAGATTTAAATTACACGAGGACTCCCATGCTAAGTTCAATAGTCCTTGCCCACTGACGTCAAACACAAAGGCAGCCGCACGAGATTTACATGCATATTTGGCCTCCTTAGTGTCAGACACAGAGACAGATGCGCACGAGATTTGTATGCGTATTAGCCTTAGCTCCTGACCTATCGACCTGCCTAATAATATACATTCCGGTAGAATTATCAAGAAATCAACATCGGTAACTTTCAAAGAGTTATCACAGAGAAAAAAAAATAAAAATGGAAATATATATATAGTATAAACATAACAAAGTTATGTTTATGATATAGTAAGTTTTTTTTGTTTTTTTTTTTGACATGGGAAGTGCCTATGGGCTGCCCGTAGCGTAGTGGGATATACAGATTACATAAATCACATATTTTTTAGTCTTCATACAATGTATGAATTATAGCCCCAACGGTCACATCCTTACCCTGCATCAATCAACTTTGAAGTCGTCTGCTCAAAAAAATAATTTTACACACCGGATAGTCCACTGAACAATGTAATATACAGAATAAACTGTGAGCTTATAGAAAATCCGGAAAAGTAAGTTGTGAGCTATATGAGAGAAATGTGCCAGCATAGATACATGTATGCCAGTTGTACCTAGAGCACCTATAAAGATTAAAGGATTTGGGATGGGTATATATGAACCGTTAACTTGTGTAATGTCTCTAATTTTCTCCTCTCTTGTTGAAGAAATCATTGAAGAAAATTGTCAAAGGAAATTTTGCCAACATATTTCCAGGGAAAAGCTTACAACTTTTGGCGCGCATTAATCAACACCAATTGTGACGTAATGTATGTCTATAGGTAAAATTAACGTCATTTGATATGAATGTGTTTGGAATTTCTTATGATCTTGTGGTAAGGTAAGTGAGGATTTTTTTTCTCTCGGGGAAATGTGGTGGGTGAGTTTTCTAAAATAATTACATGCAAATAGTTCCATTAGCCTCGAATCTAAACTCTCGCGAATATTTGATGATAAAATATTTTTTCTTTAGAAAAAAAAACTTTCAAATAATTTTAATTTGTTGAAATACAATCCTAGGCATAAACTACATTGATATATTAGATTTGCCAAAAATAAATGAAAAAAAAAAATAATGAAATTTTGCGTTGCTATGGGAGACCCAGGATGAGGCTGTTGCGTTGTGGCAACAGGTCATAGTTACGGCGCCATTCAGTTGTGAACAGACGTGCAAAATTTTCTCTGCGATAAAACTGAAAAATGACAATGAAACGACGACTTTCAGTGGAAGATTCTTGTACAGAACTGGATGCTATGGTATCATTTACCTACATGAATACTCTTTTTGCTTTAATTGTTGTCGAAATATAAAGTAAATCGAATAAATCAATTTGGCTATATGTATACTCAGTAACCAGTGGCCCGTACAGCAAAAAATTCCTGCAAAACTAAAACTCCATCATTGATAATTTAAAATAATTCTTTTTTCCCTTTTCCTCACCTAAAATATGTGAATTTAAATTATGGTCAACACAGTTTAGTTATTTATAGTGAGACCCCCCCCTCCCTCCCCGAAAATCGTAAATCAAGTCAACATAGCTTTAAAAGACATTTTTTAGGAATTGTTGATTGCCTTCAGTAAAAAAACTATATGTTGTAGGTAAAGAGAAGGAAAATCACACGGGGAAAGCAGGCCGAGAGGAAACATCATCCTCATCCGTCCATCGCCTCGTCCCAAGTCAGTCCTCAAAATGAACAGTTTGTGTCTACAAATAACACATTTCACTGCAACAGTGAGGCTGCGGACAAAACAGTTACTGCAGACATTGCAAATCTCCAGAGAATATGTGACACAGAAACTGTTATAAGTGATGTTCCTGTTTCGGAACCCTCTGCTGCTGACACTTTTTGCGCAGACACTCTCTCACACATTGACTTTCTGGGAGAATTCAATGACTTGAGCAGTGTGTATGCTCTATCAGAACTGTCTCCAAACGACCCGCCTTACGATGTTGTAATGGATGGCTCTTCCTTGTACCTCGTGGGCCTGCAAAACCCGGTGTACATATCCATGGCTCCAGAATCTTCCAATTCAGACGGACAAATGTACTGCACAGTGCAACAGGATACTGACCATTTTCTTCATCACGGAGACAACTCCAACTGTTTGGTAAGTCCATCTCTCTCTCTCTCTCTCTCTCTCTCTCTCTCACACACACAAAATCTCTCTCTCTCTCTCTCGGTATTATATTTGTATTCACTTCTATTTTCTATCCTCTCTCTTCTCATCTTTATTAGCAACAGTCCAAGTCTTTTCCTGATAAAATGAAGGAAAGGATTGAGAACTGGGTAAGACTTGTGCAGACCAACTACTTTGTCATAAGTCCAGTAAAATGTTTACCTAACAGATTAGAAATATTTTGAAAGTATACCAGAAATATTTCTTAAACTGTCGTTTTAATAATTAACTAATGATTAATTACAACCATTATTTTTTCCTTTCAGTATTATGCGACCATGGATGTTGCTCACGGAAAGGCTCATGATCAGCAGCTGGAATTCCCCTCTCACACGGTATATATATGTCTTCATTATCAATTCATCAAGGAATAATTTTTCGAAAATTTTAATCAAGAAGTAACTTTGGGGTCTTTACATGAATTTATATAGAGAATAATAAATTCCCTTTTCTAGATCACATCCTGTATCAGCCCTCGACCAATATCAGCTCTCGAGCCTTCGGCCTTCTGGCTGATATTGGTCGAGGACTGATACAGGATGTGATGTGGAAAAGAGTATGTTTTATTATATTTATTACATACTTAGTAATAAAATACAGAACACATTGAATTGAGAAAAAAGTAAGTAAATATTAATGCATGGACTTCTTACAGACATGTACGTGGTCTATTGTCTCATACGATTTGGGTTTGTTTCTACATCTATTTCAATGCACTCGATCCGTAATTTGAAAATAATCTATTACTGTTACATGGGGTATTTGTAAATTAAGATTAACCTTATTTTCAAAAAGTTAAAATTAAGAGAATATGAACCCACCAAAAATTGTGTATGATAACAAGTAATGTTTTTGTGGTTTAATTCACTAAGGGTGTGATATTGATCCGTATCAGCCCTGCAGGGCTGATAACCTATATCAGCCCTGCAAATCCATATCAGCCCTGCAGGGCTGATACGGCTACTAGTATTGTGACGTCAGCCATACCGCATATGCAAATAAATAGAGAATAATACATACCCTTTTCCATATCACATCCTGTATCAGCCCGAGACACCAATATCAGCCAGAGGGCCGAAGGCCCGAGGGCTGATATTGGTCGAGGGCTGATACAGGATGTGATGTGGAAAAGGGTATGTTTTATTATATTTATTACATACTTAGTAATAAAATACAGAACACATTAAGTTGAGAAGAAAATAAGTAAATAATCATGCACGGACTTCTTAAAATGTACACAGTCTTTTGCCTTATAAAGTTTAGGTTTGTTTCTGTACTTCTATTTCAAGTGTCTCCAAACCGTAAATTGAACGTAATCTATTGTATTTGTAAATTAAAATTAACCTTATTTTCAAAAAGTTAAAATAAAGAGAATATGAACCAACCAAAAATTGTGTATGATCACAAGTACTGTTTTTGTGGTTTAATTTACTGGAGTGTGATATTGACGTCACAATAGCCGTATCAACCCTGGAGGGCTGATATGGATTTGCAGGGCTGATATAGGTTATCAGCCCCGCAAATCCATATCAGCCCTGCAGGGCTGATACGGCTATTGTGAAATCAGCCATATCGCATATGCAAAAAACCTGTATTTATTACTAAGTATGTAACAAGAAACATATATTGACGCAAGCGTCAAAAATCGGCCGCAAACCAAATAATTGTTCCTTTTATGAAGCAACTAAAGACTGAAATGGTGATCTGTTTTTAAAATATCTTATATTTATCTGTTAATATATATCCGTGACATTAAACGCTTGTGCACGACATTGCATGATTTTCTTAATTATATAATGCATGTTCAGAATTACATGTATAAGCAAAGTACCCCTGGCCCTCTGCGTCAACAAACGGTGGGCCTGTATAATTAAGAGGCATTTATATTAAAAGTTTAAAACTAAAGTTTAATGTAATCTACAACTAGATATGAAGTGTAGTTTTAATTGTATAAAAACGCAGCAAATATGTGGGGCTCCTTGCTCTCTCTTACAGGTAAAAACTATACTCCTATCATGTTTGTAAAATTTGAATTTACTAGTGGGAGGTGAATGCATGAATAGGTGAATAAAGTTATCATGTTGTAAATTTTGCATTTACCTCCAACCAGTAAATTCAAAATTTACAACATGATACTCCCTCTAGACCTTCTTAGTCTGGTCCGATTTACAGAAAAAAATACTTCTAACGGCAAATAATTATTATTTAGTCCAGCATAGTTTTTTAACCTATTTCGAGTATGCTGAATCCGAAAAAATATGCTGGCCTTCATGAAAATGGCGTTAAAGAGGTCAAAATGGCGATTCAAAATGGCGGACATCCAAATTTTCTAATTTTCTCTTAATGTCGTTCAAAATGGAGAAGTAATAAGTGAATATCTTACTGAGTGTAAAAAAACTATAAAAAGGATAATAGAATGCTAACATTATTAGTTTAACTCAGAAAATTTAGTCGTTTCTACACTTAATTCGAATTTTCTCTGATTTATTTGTCTATTGTTTCAATATCCTGCTTTGTTCAGGATTTTACATTTACAAATATCCATACACTGCAGATTTGTATTTTTTCCGCTGTATCTCCCTATTCTACAATTGAATGGTGATGGAGCTGTAAGTTAAAAGTCAAAATGGCGATTCAAAATGGCGGATATTCATTTTTTTTCAATTTTTTTCTTAATGTCGTTTACATAGGAGAAAGGATTTGTGAATATCTTACCGAGCGTAGTACAACTATGTGAAATGCCAAAAGAACACTAATATTATCACCTTAGTTCGGAAAATTTAGTCGTTTAAATTTGAAATGTGTTAATTAGCTCAAAATGGCGATTCAAAATGACGTCATATTCACTCGAATTTTGTAAAATACTTAAACTGCTTAATTCCGAGTTGTTTTGCATAAAATAAATTACAGTTTGTTTTCTTATATATATAGTATATATATAGTATATTATAAAGTTTATTAGTCCATTGAATATGAACAAACAAAAAATACTAGAAAAGATTCATTTTTTTCTGGAAATAGTTAAAACAAACTCGACTTAAAATTTTCCCCCTCGTATCTGACCGTGTTCCAAAGCCTTTGAGCCCCCATCCACCTAAAATCATTCCTGAATCGCACTTCTACTTCAACATCCCTCAGCACACCATCAAATATAACTGAAGAAATTCTTGTCCGATTTCATAGAATACTGTACTAGCTTTTGAAATTAGAACTTAAAAGAACTTAGTATTATCCCCTAACATCTTCTATTCCACCTTTATTTGCTATATGTTTGTCTGTCTTCGGAATTTTGGTATTTTCTACACCCAAGTAAAAAGGTGCCCTGTGTCAAGGATGAAAACCCCCTTGGCACGTAAAAGGTCATTTCTCTGGAGTTCGAAAAAGAGTAAGCTCACTGGAGGCCGCGAGAGAAACCAAAATCCTTCAAAAACCGATTATTATACCCCCCGCTTGAAAAGCGGGAGGGTATATAGTGATCGGGATTTCCGTCCGTCCGTCTGTCTGTCCGTCCGTCCGTCTGTACGTCCGTCCGTCCGTCCGTCTGTTACGCTTTTTCTCTTATCCGCAACTCCTCTTATACTACTGAGTGAAATTTAATGAAACTTTCACAGCATCTTTATCACATATTGCCATTGTGCACCTCCTATTTTACTTTTTTATTCAACACGTATTTTAGGTTTCCCAGAGCAAAATATGGACATTGCTATTTTTTGTTTACCTATGACGTCACATAACAGAAGCTTCTGGATAATATTTGATAGGACGAGTTATTCCTCTTTACACATTACCGTAAAACAATATGAAGCAACACATCGACATTATGGGAGGCGGGGGGTATCATTTAGTGAGCTCATTGCTCACAGTACCTCTAGTTTAAACTGATAGTCCGCCGAAACATGGCTGAAAAATTGCCGAATTGGCGTTAAACAATATACAATCAATCAATCAACACTCAAGGAACAAACATTTATGTTCAAATGTTAACAGTATATTTTGTTTTCCAAAACCTTATGCAAAATGAACTAGAGGTACTGTAAGCAATTAGCTCACTAAATGATGCCCCCGCTTCCCATATGAATATAATGACAGTGTTCATGTTTTGCTATGGGAAACCCAAAATATGTGTCGGATCAAAAGGTAAAATAGGAGGTGCACAATGGCAATATGTAATAAAAATTCTGTGAAAGTTTCATCAAATTTCATTCAGTGGTATGAGAGGAGTTGCGGATAAAAGATGGGTACCCCAAAGCGTAACAGACGGACAGACGGACATATCGATTACTCTATACCCTCCCGCTTTTCAAGAAGGGGATAAAAATCAAATCTCTGATGTTCAAGACATGTAACTATTTATTTTGTGACCGTGTATAGATCTGTTGTCTTTTAGGGTAGAAAGTTATTCTATTACCAAAAAAATTCTCAAACTTTACCATCTGGAATCACATTGTGTGCATATTTTGGTGAGAAAAGTTGTATAATTATGCAATTTAAGAGCGCCTGTAGATTCCTCGTGATTCCTATCACGTACAAGCTTTCGTACCAATAGGCCTAAGCCATTCTTGACTTCGATCTAGTGAACACTTCTCTTGACAACAAAATTTCCTTGAACACTCCAAGAGATTTACATGTACAAGGCAACTTGATAAACACTTTTTTGTTAGGATAGTGTAAGGTTGTATTACGAATCGAGGGGGGTCAATTGAACTCAAACATTTTCTTCTTTCAGATTTTGTAAATTTCAATTTTTTTTAATTTATATACACTGTTCAATACAATATTATCCGTTCACATTATGAAATATTTGAGAATGCAGTTGAATTTTTGACCGAGAATAACAAAATGCAAATGCAAGGATACAGAATCAGAGCTGGACAATCAAGAAAATTTATGGTTTACGTATATTATACTGATAATTCTTAACAAATGTTTATATTTGGATATTATAATATGTTCAGATTTATATGATGTAACAATTACATGTACTAGCCCTCTAAATGGTCGTGGTCCATCATTTTAAAAATCATACTAAGTTATGTTGCACTAGACCTTCCACATGAACATAAACATTTTCAATTTTTTCTACACTGGACTAAACATAGATCAAGAATTTCCAACAATTGATATGATTTAGCAACCCTCAAACTACAATGTTCACTCGCCTTAATGCTCGGGGAATACTGCTCTTGGGGTAGCTTAATTTTCATATTGTCCTCAAAACAGCAATTACTCTATGATATTATTAACTTTTTATATGAAGAAGCATGGTGAGAAAGGTAATAGGTAAAAATGTCTTTGGAATTGTCTTTATCTTAATAATAGAAGTATATTAAACAAAAATCCATGTTATAAAAATTCTAAGTCATTAAAAAATATCCTCCAACTTTCATTGCATATTTAAACATTATTTCATAAATAAAAAAAACTGTTATTTATTTCCTGCAAAACGAATCAGAATTAAGCAGTTTGGGTATTTTACGAAATTCGAGTGAATATGACGTCATCTGAATTGCCAATTTGAGCTAATTAACACATTTCAAATTTAAACGACTAATTTTTCCGAACTAAAGTGATCATATTAGTGTTATATTGTTATTTTACTTAAATGTACTACGCTCAGTAAGATTTTCACAAATCGTTTCTCCTATACGTAAACGATAATAAGAAACAATTGAAAACAAGAAATGAATATCCGCCATTTTGCATCGCCATTTTGACTTTTAACTTACAGCTGCACCATCATTCAATTGTAGAATATTAAGATGCAAAGGAAAAAATGCAAATCTGCAGTGTATGGATATTTGCAAATGTAAAATCCTGAACAAAGAAGAATATAGAAACAATAGACTAATAAATCTGAGAAAATTCGAATTAAGTGTAGAAACGACTAAATTTTCTGAGTTAAACTAATAATGTTAGCATTCTATTATCCTTTTTATAGTTTTATTACACTCAGTTAGATATTCACTCATTACTTCTCCATTTTGAACGACATTAAGAGAAAATTAGAAAATTTGGATGTCCGCCATTTTGAATCGCCATTTTGACCTCTTTAACGCCATTTTCATGAAGGCCAGCATATTTTTTCGGATTCAGCATACTCGAAATAGGTTAAAAAACTATGCTTGACTAAATAATAATTATTTGCCCTTAGAAGTTGTTTCTAGCCTTCTTTTTAAAAATCAGGACCAGACTATCTCTTTCAGTTTCTTTGAGTTGTAGCGGGAAAATTCTTGGCACATTGTAAAACGTGCATTATCCTCGTCTGCTAATGGCCACATTTTGTAATATTCTGTAGCCTGCAAGGTCTTTTGATGAACTAACATTTAACCATATTTTTGAAAATGTTAATATATGTACGTGTGTACACGTCATTTTAAAATAAAAACGTACAACAAATCCTGTTTAAATAGAGAAAGTAAACTTGTGCAATGTACATAACGCGGTCTTTGCTTTAGACTATGCCCAACACATGTCCTAAATTTTCTCCGCACATCAAACATGTCAAAGTTTCTCAATCAGGATTGGATGAAATATTTACCTCATTCTTTATAAAAAAAAAAGTTAATTTTTTTATATGTTTATTGTGCGTTCTTGTTAAACATTTAGACGCTCTTTTTAATATACTATTATATTAATGTTATATATTTTTATTTAAATTGTTTTAACTCCGCAGAAACGCACAGCGACTTCAAACTTTCATATCATATAACCGACCGCCTCCTGGCGGCCGGTAATAAAGAAATTTATCACATACTTAGTAATAAATACAGATTTTTGCATATGCGATATGGCTGACGTCACAATAGCCATATCAGCCCTGCACGGCTGATATGGATTTACAGGGCCGATGTAGGTTATCAGCCCTGCAGGGCTGATACGGATCAATATCACACCATTAGTAAATTAAATCTCAAAAAACAGTACTTGTGATCATACACATATTTTGGGGCTTACACTTTTCTCTTAATTTTAACTTTTTGAATGTAATGATAATCTAACTGATAGTGATAAATAATCGATTATTTTAAAATTACGGATTGGGGACATTTGAAATAGAAGTACATGCAGAAACAAACCGAAAGTGTATGAGACAATAGACTGTGTACATCTTAAGAAGTCCGTGCATGATTATTTATTTATTTTCTCCTCAATTTAATGTGTTCTGTATTTTATTACTAAGTATGTAATAAATATAATAATAATACCCTTTTCCACATCACATCCCGTATCAGCCCTCGACCAATACTAGTATCAGCTCTCGGGCCTTCGGCCCTCTGGCTCATATTAGTGTCTCGGGCTGATACAGGATGCGATATGGAAAAGAGTATGTATTATTCTCTATATAATAGTAAAAGTTTCAAACACTTCAAATATTTCGGGGGGGGGATAATTATGAAATTGGTAAACAAATTTACAACAATACAACGCATGTTGTAAATTTTGTATTTACTGCCACCCGGTAAATTCAAAATTTACAACATGACACACGGTTACAATAATGGAAACAGACATGGCGAATTTCTCTGATTGTTGATAAGCAGTTGAGCACTATATTAACCGACCCTCATGTCATGATGTTTAAAATAACAAAGATTTTTTTTTCTTTTCAGTTGGACTGGTCAGAGGGAGTGGCATTCAGCCATGAGTGCAAGTGGGAGCTAGAATACCATGAGCCAAACTACAGCAAGTTCAGTTTCTAGAGAGGAGGTTCCTCGAGTGTTCAAAGACTGTGATAGACAATTTTGACTCAGACGAGTCAGTGATATGATCTCTTAGACCTATTTATGGGTCACTGTTTTTAATTTTTGATTCATATCATGCATGTTTTACCAATTTTGTCGTGTTTAAAGCATGAGGACGACAGCCTAATCATGTCATTTTTATTAATCTTGCATGTCTGACAAGCTCTTATTGTGGACATAATACTTTGTATTGAATTACCAGTTGAGGGCAAGTTACCTAAATAGACGCTGCAAAATAAAACAGTATGCCAGTGACGCCAGAGGAAAATACTAGTATACAACAGTTTTTGTATGAGATCGAGAGGTGCATCATGATATAAAATATTGCATGGACAAAATACTCTCTCTGCGCCTGTGAGTCATGATAATTACGGTTATTACCCAGACACGAGTACTTTATTCAGCTGTCGGTCTATATGCGCTCCATTCTCTAAATAAGCCTTTTTAAAACTAAGTTCAGACATATAAAGTCACGTTCTTTTATCTTAACATCTTCGCCTCATTGAGATAGATTTTTTTCTTCATTGGCAAATCAAAGACATGATGTTTGATATTTAGGCCAGTTTACCTCTTGCATATATGTATGCTTTAATTACTTGTAAACATTTGATTTATATAATAAAATAACCTTTTGTCGTTTTCTTTAATTGTGTATTGTATGTTCTATATTTATTCGAATTAAACCACTTTGTGATTTCTATTTAGGAAAGGTAATATTAACATCCGTGCCATTATTATAGGCAAGGTCAGCTGGACAATGAATTTTCAGTCGGCACTTTTTCCTATGATACACATAGAAAACGGCTAGACACAAGTATTTTTTAGATTTAAAATAAAAAACAAACTAGAAGTATACTATCGTACTGTGAGCAATGAGCGCACTAAATAATACCTCTCGCCTCCCATATGAATATAATATAAATATAATCATGATTTGCTATGGAAAACCCAAAATATGTATAAGATCAAAAAGTAAAATAGGAGGTGCACAATGGTGATATGAAATAAAGATTCTGTGAAAGTTTCATCAAATTTCATTCAATGGTATGAGAGGAGTTGCGGATAAGAGATGGGTACCCCAAAGAGTAACAGACGAACGGACAGATATCCCGATTACTATATACCCTCCCACTTTTCAAGCAAGGGGAATAAAAATGTGTTTGCTTCTCTAATGACTAAATATCTAGATTTAAAAAAAAATGCTTAAGATCGTCACCAGCAGCCCAAACGATGGGCGTGGATAAATGGGGACAGTGGATCCCATACTGGGTTTCAGTGTACCAAAACCGATTCAGCTCATTTTCGTTGGTTAAGAAATTAAAAAAAATGAATACAGTATATTTTTCGCGTTATAAAAGGAAGCTTTTGCAAATGAACGCGTTAATTTCGCGTTATACCACGAAACTTTCGGGAACAAAAGCTTACTTTTCTAGTTATAACGCAAAATTATATACATGTGTATTACATGTACATGTACTAGAATTTAAGGAATAACTATGGCACGCCAAATTCACAAAAATGAGCTAAACATAGTTTCACAGTCGATAAACTAGGTTTATCGGTTGTAAACTATAGTTTACGGACTGTAAACTATAGTTAACAACGTTAATCTATATTTTACATCCGTAAACCATAGTTAACGCGATAATCTATGTTTCACAACCGTAAACTATACTTAACACTGAAAACAACCATTTGCAATTGCAAAACATATATTATCTGATAAATACAGTTTCACGATTTGTAAACTATAGTTTACAAACCGTTAACTATAGTAAACGATCTGATAAATATACTAGTAGTTTCACGATTTGTGAAACTATGATTAACAACTCTTAACTATAGTTTACGATTGTAAACTATAGTTTACAAACGTGAATCTATGTTTATCAACAAAATCTATTGTTAACGCTTATTACAGACAGATAAACTTAGATTATCATTCGTAATAGTTAACAACCGTTAAATATAGTTTTATAGATGAAAACTATACTTAACGAATCGTTAACTATACTTAACGAATCGTTAACTATAATTTGCGGTTTGTAAACTATAGTTTACAGTCGATAAACCTAGTTTATCAAATGTGAAACTAGGTTTATCTCATTTTTGTGAATTTGGCGTGCCATAAATAACTGTCTTATTTTTTTTGGTTTTCTAATGTGATCAATCGAGTGTTTTCCTTGATAATTTGCAGTGAAGGCGTTTATGCATAAAATTATCGAGCAATCCAATCGATAGATCATCGTCATGAAATAAAAAAAATAGGAAATTTATTCCTTACATATGTGTATGTAATACAAATATCAATTTGTATTAATTAATACAAATAACAAATATCAACTCGTATCAATACTTTCGGTACTTTGATTTAAAAATCGAAGAAAAAGAATTTTCACCTTTCCCCTGTTTCCATGGAAACAATTGACAATTTGCAATTTTTAAATGCAACACGCACAATTACAGATACTAATCACTACATAAGTAAAATTTCATGAAGAATGTTCAAGGGACCAGAGAGAACACTCGCGGACAAAATTCGTCGCTTTGTAGCAGGATCCCATGGCAACAGTAGCCATTATGAAACTGAATGACCACACCAGTGATCCTCCTTTGAGGAAAGTTTCAAGAAGATTGTCCCAGTCATCTCCGAGAAACAGCCCGTAGAAGAAATTAAAACATGCGTACAATCGCAATATGTCGCCGACATAATTAGAAAGAGGAACCTCAGACATTTAATGGCGAGAAAATTAAAATTTCAGCTTATAGTCTAATATCAGTATGTACAATCTTTCCTCGCGTATTATATTGTAAGTAATATTTTAGATCATTATAAATCACGACTTCTGCATATATCTTGGTTTTACTGGGATAGTTTCGCGTTATTAAGGTAAAGATCTAGTTAATGAAAGGTGCCTACAGATTTATTAAACTTGAGAAATAAATTCGTTTATTGATGCTTTACAACTTTAGCTTCGTCAAATAAGGTGTTTCGGGGCATAATTTGTAGGTAAACAAGATGAAAAACTGTATTTTAAACTGTCATTTTCAATGAAAAATTAAGAAAACCAGTCATGAATATGGGAGTTTTTTTCGTATTAAGCAAAGGAAATGTATCCAGATTGCCTACAGTCTCTCAGAAAACGGTAATTAGTATGTTCATGACCTATTCTTTAAATCAATATCAAATTTCATATAGGTATCCGGTTTACTTTTCATATGATTACAAATTGAATGACATGAAAATACCCTATTTTCTACATAATTCTGCTAACACCGTAAAGTACGGGAAAAAGAAAGTTGAAATTGATTATGACGTCATAATGGATCTAGCACCAAAAAATCAGTCTCAAGTTATTTACTAGATCTTGACCTTAACGTAGAACCTACGTCGTATGACATCATAACTAGTGAATGTATTTAGTCTGTGCCAGATCCATTATGACGTCATAATTAATTCAATGTCATTTCCCGTACTTTACAGCTTCAGTATAGAAATGATAGAAAATACTGCATTTTGAAATTCACAGAATTCAATTTAAAATCATGCCGAAATAATCTTCATAATATTCGATTTATATATTTTTCTTTAATATAATGCTTAATGACAATATATTTCTTGAATTAGAGAAACCTGTAGGCACCTTTCATTTAATAGATCTTGACCTTAATTATAAGTTGACAAATCCAAGACTGTATTGTGTGATGAAATTGCCATGTATACAACAAACTGTAATAATGTAAATGGTAAGTAACTATTTTGAAGGAATGCAAAAATCTTTTTAAAAAATCGTCAGTTGCCAACTAAATAGTGTAATACCTTGATGAAATGTGTCTAAGTCAAAGATGTACCTGTTGTAGATTGTGTGTACATTTTGTGATATCTATCATGAAATGATGTGCATTCCTCTTCATAATTATTTGTTACTTATTCATATTCTTGGAGTTTTATTACAATTTCTCTATTAAATATGATTTTTTAAATTAAAAATACAATTTTTATAAACATTTTTAAGCTGAAAGTAGCCCCGAACAGTCATTAAATAATAAAATCCGTGTAAGTGCAAAAAGGTCAAGAATATTAGTATCGGTAAATAACCTACCTCTCATTAGTTAGAGGGGAAATGTATATATTTTAATCACTTTTTGTAATCATTTGGGTATGTTCTTTATCATATTAAAGATTGAAAACATTGTGACAAAGACTTCTGATATATATTTACAAATGTAGGGTGGAAAATTGACTGAAAATAAATAGAGTTCATTTGCCTATAGTTTTGAAAATGTGGACTTATCTTTTATGTCAATTGAATAAAAAAAGAATTTATTCTCGGGAAATACTGTTTAATACTGTTCAATTAATAAACAATAAAAACAACGATGTTTAAAGAAGCAATTTTGGGATTTTGTTGTCTTCTTTGCATGACAAGTACCTCTAAAATGACTGAAATTGTGAAGTTTCAATATGTATTTATCATTCCATGTTTAACTGGCTGCACTACATTTAATAACAAGGAAACATGTCATGTGCTTTTAACTGATTGATAAGCAAGTGCTAATTTATCATTATGAAAAGTTTGAAAATCTTGTGACAAGGACTTCTCCGACATAGGTTCTACCTTAAGCGAAAATAATGTGTTTATTTGCAAAACTTCCGAGTTTATTTGCGAAAGTTTCGCGTTAATTCGCGAAAGATTCGTTCTCCTTTGCAACAGTTTCGCGTTATAACGCAAAATTTTTTTTTTTTTTTAACCTACAAAGATGAGCTTAACGGGCAATTTGTGTATTTAAGAATCTTACGGCTTCTTTTTAAAAGATGAATAAAGTTCCAAGAACTTTAGAGATCTTCAATAGAAAGGGAGGGAGTTGCGATCGTGTTCAACACACCCTCCATCTGGTCGCTCGTTTACTATATCGCTCAATGCACATAAACATTTGTATTAGTTATGCATTTCAAATTAATATTTTTCCTAATCTTTTTAAAGTCAGGTATGAAGAGTAAATTTATCATAAACGAGGATTTTTTTTATTTCAACAAACAGCATATGAAATAATACGATTAGCAATTCCAAAAAAGTACGCGTTCCTTCTCTTTCGATATGCGTTGTAGTCAGATCATTACAAAGAACTGTTACCCATTTGTAACATTTGGTTTATTAAATGATTTTTTTCTGTGTATTTTTGTTGTTGTTGTTTGGATAAATAAATTAAGTTAAAACTCATTTTCGTTTGTATCTATGAATTATAAATGCATTAGAAATAATCGTTGTAGTTTAATTTAGCGTAACTGAGCTAAAAAATTTACATATGTACTTACATTCTTACCGAGTACCCGGCTACTCCATCGGAACAGAAACGTCCGGGTAACCGATATTGATGTTTTGACATTCTTATAGAATACAGATAAAGTATTTACAATACAAATAAAAAAAACATACAAAACAAATAAAAATTATACAAAATAAATAAAAATTATGCAATATAAAGGAAAAGATCGAATATTGCAACGTTTTACATATCAAAGAAAACAAATTACTTTGTACTTTAATCCCCCTATTCGCCAACTGAAATTGCTCTCAACAGGCAAAATGTTTCAATAACGTGCTTGGTTCAAGAGAATGATTACAATCCATTCAATTTAATTTTTACATGTAAGAGCTTAAAAAAAATGTTCTAATAATATTAAATATCTGGGGGGATACTGAGAAGCTGATCCTAGATCTAAAAGTACCTTTGATCATAAAAACCGGGGGGGGGGGGGGCTAGGGCCCTCCCCCCCCCCCCCCCCCCCCACTTTCATTTTGCTTCCGACGCCAATGCTGATGAGGGCGAGGGAGGATGTCACCGTCTGGATTCCTCTCATTTGAGCATGTCAACCTCTCGCAAGGAACACCACGCCCAAAACATCCACTGAAAAGCATACACATTTTGGCGCGCATTGATCATCAATTGTGACGTAAAACTCATATGTAAAATTAACGTCATTTGATATGAATGTGTTAGGAATTTATTATATTCCTTCAGACAGGTAAGCAAGTAAATTAATTTGAGGAGGGGAAGGCAAGATTTGAATTTTTATCGAGTATAAAATGCCAAGAATTCCATATACCAGCTGTTCTAAAATATTATTACTATAATAGTTCCATGCGCTTCGAATCTAACATCTCGCGAATATTTGCTTAAAACATTTTTTTCGTTAGAAAAAAAAATCCTTCAAATTATTTTTTTTAAGAAATGGCAATTTTCAGGAAATAATTACGAAAATAAAAAAAAGAAACTTATGAAAATTTACGTTGCTATGGGAGACCCAGGATGAGGCTGTTGCGTTGTGGCAACAGGTCATAGTTACGGCGCCATTCAGTTGTGAACGGACGTGCAAAATTTTCTCTGCGATAAAACTGAAAAATGACAATGAAACGACGACTTTCAATGGAGGATTCTTGTACAGAACTGGATGCTATGGTATCAGTTACCTACATGAATACTCTTTTTGTTTTAATTGTTGTCGAAATATAAAGTTAATCAAATAAATTTATTTTGCGACACATACAGTGGCCGGTCGATCCTGCAAAAAATTTCATGCAAAACTAAAATGTCGTCATTGATCATCTAATACATGTATAACTCTTTTCCCCTTCCTAATGTATGAAATTGAGGCGAATATAATAAGTTTATTTATATTGAGCAAACCCCCTCCCAGTAAAGAGTAGGTAAACCCTGTTTATTGGTATAGCAATATGCGATGTATAAATTATTTTGATTCACAGAAGAAAAGCTTTAAGACCTTTGAGAAATTATTTCATTCCTCCAGCAAATAAATTATAGGATACACATGTATGTTGCAGGCAAAAAGAAGGAAAATCAGCCGAGCAAAGGAGGCTGGGAGGAAACATCGTACGTCCTCATCCGTCCATAGCCTCTTCCCGAGTCAGTCAGTGTACAGTTTATGTCTACAAATACTAGTGACAAATTTCACTGCCATAGTGAGGCTGCAGACAAAACAGTTACTGAGAACTTTGCATGCCTCCAGAAAGTATGTAATGCAGAAACTGTTAGTGATGTTCCTGTTTCGGAGCCATCTGCTGCTGACGCACTTTGTGCAAACAATCTCTCACACATTGACTTTCTGGGAGAATTCGATGACTTGAGCAGTGTTTATGCTCTATCAGAACTGTCTCCAAAAGATCCGCCTTACGATGTTGTAATGGATGGCTCTTCCTTGTATCTCGTGGGCCTGCAAAACCCGGTGTACATATCCATGGTTCCAGAACCTTCCAATTCAGACGGACAAATGTTCTGCTCGGTGAAGCAGGATACTGACCATTTTCTTCAGCACGGAGACAACACCAACTGTTTGGTAAGTCCCTCTCTCCCCTTCTCTTTCCCAAAATCTCCTCTCTCTCCAGTTCTTTCTCTCTCTCTCTCTCTCTCTCTCTCTCTCTCTCTGTATTATTTGTATACATTTCTGTTTTCTATCCTCTATCTTCTCATCTTTATTAGCAACAGTCCAAGTCTTTTCCTGATAAAATGAAGGAAAGGATTGAGAACTGGGTAAGACTTGTGCAGACCAACTACTTTGTCATAAGTCCAGTAAAATGTTTACCTCACAGATTAGAAATATTTTGAAAACATCCCAGAAATATTTCTTAAGCTGTCGTTTTAAATAATAATTATTTAATTATTGATTACAACCATTTTCCTTTCAGTATTATGCGACCATGGATGTTGATCACGGAGAAGCTCATGATCATCAGCAGGAATTCCCCTCTCACATGGTATACATAAGTGATCTTCATTATCAATTTATCAAGGAATAATTTTTCGGAAATTTTAATCAAGAAGTAACTTTGGAGTCTTTACATGAATTTATAGAAATTTGATAGAAAAAGTTTCAAACACTTCAAATATTCGGGGGATAATTATGAAATTGGTAAACACGTGTAATGTTGTGAATATTGAATTTACCTGGTGCATGGCAGTAAATACAAAACTTACAACAATACAACGCATGTATTAAATTTTGTATTTACTGCCACCCGGTAAATTAAAATTTACAACATGACACACGGTTACAATAATTTACAACATGACACACAGTTACAATAGTTTACAACATGACACACGGTTTTAATACTCAGTAATGGAAACAGACATGGCGAATTTCTCTGATTGTTGATAAGCAGTTGAGCACTTTATTAACCGATCCTCATATGTCATGATGTTTAAAATAACAAAGATTTTTTTTTCTTTTTCAGCTGGACTGGTCAGAGCGAGTGGCATTCAGACATGAGTGCAAGAGGGAGCTAGAATACCATGAGCAAAACTTCACCAAGTTCAGTTTCTAGAGAGGAGATTCCTAGAGTGTTCAAAGACTCTGATAGACAATTTTGACTCAGATGAGTCAGTGATATGATCTGTGAGACCTATTTATGGGTCACTGTTTTTAATTTTTGATTCAAATCATGCATGTTTTACCAATTTTGTAGTGTTTAAGGCATGAGGACGACAGCCTAATCATGTCATTTTTATTCATCTTGCATGTCTGACAAGCTCTTATTATGGACATAATACCGGTACTTTGTATTGTATTACCAGCTGGGGAAAATTTTCCTAAAGACACGCTGCAAAACAAAACAGTATGTTTATGACGCATTCAGAGGAAAATACTAGTATACAACAGTTTTTGTTTAAGATCGAGAGATACTTGTATACAACAGTTTTTGTATTATAAGATCGAGAAGTGCATCATGATATAAAGGACAAAATACTCTCTCTGTGCCTGTGCGTCATGATACTTTATTCAGCTATCTGTCTCCATTCTATAAATATGCCTTCCTTTTTAAAAACGAAGTTCAGACAGTATGTGTATCCATGATATAAAGTCACGTTCTTTCATTTTAACATACCGGTTAGTAGCTTCGCCTCATTGAGATAGATTTTTTTTCTTCATTGGCAAAACAAAGACATGATATTTTATATTTAGGCCAGTTTACCTCTTGCTTACAAGTATATGCATGCTCATATTTCTTGTAAATATTTGATTAATATATTAAAATTAATTTTTGTAGTTTTCTTTTAATTGCCTATTGTATAATTCTAGATATATTCAGATCTATTCGCACGGGCGTCGGAAGCAAATTGAAAGTGTATGTGTGTGTGTGGGGGGGGGGGGGGGCTAATCGAAAGTTAGGGGGCAAAACCAACCAAAAAAGGTAATTCCCAATTTTCAATGCCTATATAATGTCTATTTTTGCAACAAAAAAGGGGGGCTAACCCCCCCCCCCCCCCCCCGGTTACGATGTCTATGTATTCGAATTAAACCACCTAGTGATATTCTTAGTAGAACAACACAGGAACCTTTCCAAAATACACGCTTTACAATTTATCCATAGGGTTTGTAAAGATTTGTTTAAAAGAAATACGCTTTAGACAAATCGGGTATGAGCTAGGGACTAGACAGAAATGATATGTAGTTAATCTACAAACAAAACCTCGTCGCCTGCGTGGCGCAGTGGTTAGAGGGTCTGCTCTACAATTGCGAAGTAAGGAGTTGTTCCATACGTCGGAGATTGTTCTTTCGGATCAGACCGTATAAACTAGATCCCTTGTCGCAGTAGGCGGCAAGAAAATGACCGCTCACTGCTCAATGGCTTAGGACAAATTTAGCAGCTCTTCACTTGTAAGTGGTGGCGTCTCCATATGAGTGAAAAAGTCTAGAGAGGGAAGTTAAACAACATAAAACAAATAAAGCACTAATACAGTGTATTAACTTTCCAAAATACACGCTTTACAATTTATCCATAGGGTTTGTAAAGATTTGTTTAAAAGAAATACGCTTTAGACAAATCGGGTATGAGCTAGGGACTAGACAAAAATGATATGTAGTTAATCTACAAACAAACCTCGTCGCCTGTGTGGCGCAGTGGTTAGAGCGTCTGCTCTACAATTGCGAAGTAAGGAGTTGTTCCATACGTCGGAGATTGTTCTTTCGGATCAGACCGTATAAACTAGATCCCTTGTCGCAGTAGGTGGCAAGAAAATGACCCCTCACTGCTCAATGGCCGTAGGACAAATTTAGCAGCTCTTCACCTGTAAGTGGTGGCGTCTCCATATGAGTGAAAAAGTCTAGAGAGGGAAGTTAAACAACATAAAACAAATAAATCAACAAACTTCCGATTTCCATTAAAAGCTAATACAGTGTATTAACTTCCGTGCCATAATAATAGGCAAGGCCTGCTGGATTTTCAGTCGGCACTTCTTCCTATGATGCAAACAGAGAACCCTTGGCTAGACAACAATGTTGATGAATTTAAGAAAAATGTGCTTGCTTCTCTGGTGAGCAAATGTCTAGATTTAAGAAAATGCCCAAGATCTTCAAAATCAATTTTTTGAAAATTGATGGGTGGACATTGACTGGAACAGTGAATACCATACTTGGTTCTAGTGTACAAAAACCGATTGAGAGCATTTTCGTGGGTTAAAAAATATTTTTCGCATTTTAACGCGAAACTTTTGCAAATAAACGCGTTACTTTTGCGGTATACCGCGATATACCGGTAAACTGTCCGGAACAAACGCCTACCTTTCGAGTTATAGCACAAAATTATATACATGTGCTAGTAGAAAAATATATGCCCGGCATGTTAAAGACGAAATGTGACGGAGAAAAAAATAGGAACCTCAGACTGATAATGGCGAACAAATTTAAATTTCAGCTAATGATAGTCCAATATCAACATTATCTTAATTTTCTCTCGTTTTACATTGTAATGAATGAATTAGATCATTATAAAACACGACTTCTGCGAACACACTGTATCTTAGTTTTACTGGGAAAGTTTCGCTTTATAATGCAAAAATTACACAGTTCTTCCAAAAGATTCGCGTTTATTTGCGAAATATTAACGAAAGTTTCCCGTTAATTCGCGAAAGATTAGTGCTTATTTGCAAAAGTTTCGCGTTATAACGCAAAAAATATTTTTATAACCTATAAAAATGAGCTGGATGGGCTTTCATATTCGTGTATCTAGGAATAAAAAGAATAATAAACGAAAATCTAAGACGTACTTCTCCTTAAGATATATTCAATAAAAAGGGAGGGAGTTGCGATTGTGTCCAACGCACCCTCTTTCTGGTCGCTCTTTTATTACATCGCTCCATGCATACAAGCATGTCTATTAGTTCTGTATTTCAAATTAAAAAATTCTCTAATATATCTGCAATACGCATATACTATAATAATTTGAAAAGATTATATTATTCAAATCTTAGCAGTAAAAATTTGACAAGAACACTTAATGAATACTGGGACTACCAAATCACTGACATATCCATGGTATTCGGGATATTAATGTTCGAGATACTGAAGTTGAACTGTTTATATCACCGTTGCTGACCAAGGGAAACGTTATTCTGCGAAAAGTACAAGAATCCTAGGACGCTAGCTAAGGAAATAAACTCTTGTATTTTGCTAAGAAAACAAATGTAGGATATTGCATGGCGAACACCTATAAGCTTCAATACCTGGATAAAATATTTTATTGGAATACCAGCCAATATTTATGTTAAAATTTCATTAAGAAAGATAATTTTAATTGTTGTGTTTCACTTTTCATACATATGGATTGGAATAAGTACACTATACTCATTATGATCTTTGAATTGCAATGCAGTAACATGAATTCTTCCATCACCAGAATATGAAAATTCCTAAAACTCGCCTTTGTGTACTATAAGATAATATGTACAGTTCAAGTACATTGTATATAATTGAAGAAGTCTGCAGTATAACAGTTCCCCGTGAGCATGTCTATTCCCTGAGAATAGTAAAAATTATTGACTATAGTTACTTTAACCTGTGGAATATAAATATGGGTCAAGCTAAATCTTGAAACATTTAATGTCATACAGTTAGCAGCAAAGAAATCATTCCAAATAAAGAAGTCCAAATTCATGGTCAAGACAACAATTTAAGTTTTATTACAATAGTTATTCTCTGCAAAAACAAGCATTCTATATTGGTCCTACGTTTGCATTGTAAAATTTCTCATTTGTATTGTAAAATTTCGTATAAGTTATTGTAAAAAAAAAATTGTATCGTAAAATTTCTTATTTGTATTCGATAATTTTTCATTCGTATCGTATCCGCAGATTGTTTATTTTTGTTTCGTTACGAAGGACTTCATTGCTCAAGATTTAGCCCATCGTCCCACGCCACCCGAGCTCAGTTCACACGAAACCCTTCGTAACGAATAAAAAAATAAATAATCCCTCGGATACAATATAAATGAAAAATTATCGAATACAAATAAGAAGTTATGCAAAACAAATAAGAAATTATATTAAGCAAATGGAAAATATAGAATGCAAACCAAAAAATGTACATATCATTTTTTTTTCTTTTTTACAATACAAATGGAAAATATAGAATACAAATAAAAATATACAGTTAAAATGAAAAATTATAGGATAAAAATGTTAAATTATAAAATATAAATAAAAATTGTACAATACAAATGAAAAATTACACAAAACAAATATATATTATACAATATAATAGAAAAGATCGAATATTCCAACGTTTTACATGTCAAATAAACATAGTTACTTTATATTTTCACCCCTCCCCCCTTTTCGTCAATGAAAATGTTTGGTTGTGTCCCTGGCCCATCCTCTTTAAACTGAAATTGCTCCCAACTGGCAAAATGTTTCAATATAATGCTTGGTTCATGAGAATGATTACAGTAATAGATTCAAGAGTCTACTAAATAAGTCGTAGACATTGTTGAAGGTTTTTTAACTCTACGATTTACGGTTTCGGAGAAGAGATAACAATGGTTTTTCTCACAAGGGGAGAGAACTCCGAAAGGGGTCATAGGTCAAATACGCTGGGTTGTTTTTCGAAATAACTATTGATGTCGAGTATCATAAACTAAAAAGTTTTTCGATAAGTCTTTCGGATCAAAAGTCCGTAACGGAAATATAACTAGTAGACTAATTGTTCACTGAACAATTACACGTCTTACCAGCTTTTTAAGTGTTTCCGTATCATTTGGGTTGAAAAAAAAAGAAGAAAAACGCAACAAAAAAAATCTTTAAAAAAAAATAAATAAATCCATTCAATTTTACGTGTAAGAACTTTAAAAAAAAATGCAATAATTAAATACTGGTAGGGGGGTCTGAGAATATGAAATTCGTTGTTAAAAATATGACTAGTTCAGCTGATCCTAGATCTAGAGTACCTCTGAATTAGAGGACGAGGGAGGATATGCACCGTTACAATCTAATTAAAATCAGACTTCTTAGATCCGCGCCGGATACACACTACGCAGAGTGTATACGGCGCGGATCTAAGAAGTCTGATTTTAATTAGATTGTGCACCGTTAACTTCTCTGGGTTCCACTCATTTGAATATGACAATCTCTCGCAAGAAACACCACGCCAAAAAATCCATTGAAAAGCTTTCACATTTTGGCGCGCATTGATCATTAATTGTGACGTAAAAATCGTAGGTAAAATTAACGTCATTTGATATGAATGTGTTTGGAATTTGTTATATTCATACAGACAGGTAAGCAAGTAAATTAATTTGAGCAGGGGAAGGCAAGATTTGTCGAGTATAAAACGGCCACGAATTCCATATACCAACTGTTCTAAAATATTATTACTATAATAGTTTCATGTGCTTCGAATCTAACATTTCGCGAATATTTGCTTAAATCATTTTTTCCGTTGAAAAAAAAAATCCTTCAAGTTATTTTTTAAAGAAAAGACAATTTTGAGGAAATGATTACGAAAATAAAAAATAAACTTATGAAAATTTACGTTGCTATGGGAGACCAAGGATGAGGCTGTTGCGTTGTGGCAACAGGTCATAGTTACGGCGCCATTCAGTTGTGAACGGACGTGCAAAATTTTCTCTGCGATAAAACTGAAAAATGACAATGAAACGACGGCTTTCAATGGAGGATTCTTGTACAGAACTGGATGCTATGGTATCAGTTACATACATGGATACTCTTTTGTTTTAATTGTTGTCGAAATATAAAGTTAATCAAATAAATTTATTTTGCGACACATACAGCGGCCGGTCGATCCTGCAAAAATTTCTTGCAAAACTAAAATGCCGTCATTGACCATATAATACATGTACAACTCTTTTCCCCTCCCTAATGTATGAAATTGAGGCGAATATACTAAGTTTATTTTTATTGAGCAAACCCCCTCCCAGTAAAGAGTAGGTAGACCCTGTTCATAGGTATAGCAATATGCGATGTTTAAATTATTTTGATTCACAGAAAAAAACTTTAAGACCTTTGAGAAATTATTTAATTCCTCCAATAAATAGATTACATGAAATACATGTATGTTGTAGGCAAAAAGAAGGAAAATTAGCCGAGGAAAGAAGGCCGGGAGGAAACATCGTCCTCACCCGTCCATCGCCTCGTCCCAAGTCAGTTTTGAAAGTGAACAGTGTATGTCTACAAATACTAGTAACTGCTATAGTGAGGCTGCGGACAAAACTGTTACTGGGGACTTTGCGTGCCTTCAGAAAGTATGTGACACAGAAACTGTTATAAGTGAAGTTCCAGTTTCGGAACCATCTGCTGCTGACACACTTTGTGCAGACACTCTCTCACACATTGACTTTTTGGGAGAATTCGATGACTTGAGTAGTGTTTATGCTCTATCGGAACTGTCTCCAAAAGATCCGCCTTACGATGTTGTAATGGATGGCTCTTCCTTGTATCTCGTGGGCCTGCAAAACCAGGTGTACATATCCATGGTTCCGGAGCCGCCCAATTCAGACAGACAAATGTTCTGCACGGTGAAGCAGGATACTGACCATTTTCATCAGCACGGAGACAACATCAACTATTTGGTAAGTCCCTCTCTCTCTCCCAAAATCTCCTCTCTCTCTCTCGTTCTCTCTCTCTGTATTATTTGTATACATTTCTGTTTTCTATCCTCTATCTTCTCATCTTTATTAGCAACAGTCCAAGTCTTTTCCTGATAAAATGAAGGAAAGGATTGAGAACTGGGTAAGACTTTGTGCAGACCAACTACTTTGTCATCAGTCCAGTAAAATGTTTACCTCACAGAGTAGAAATATTTTGAAAGCATGTCAGAAATATTTCTTAAGCTGTCGTTTTAAAATAATTATTAACTAATGATTAATTACGATCATTTTTTTCCTTTCAGTATTATGCGACCATGGATGTTGCTCACGGAGAGGCTCATGATCATCAGCTGGAATTCCCTTCTCACACGGTATACATCAGTGATCTTCATTATCAATGTATCAAGGAATAATTTTTCGGAAATTTTAATCAAGAAATTACCTTTGGAGTCTCTACATGAATTTATAGAAATTCGATAGTAAAAGTTTCAAACACTTCAAATATTAGGGGGGGGAGGTATAATTATGAAATTGGTAAACACGTGTCATGTTGTAAATATTGAATGTACCGGGTGCATGGCAGTAAATACAAAATTTACAACATGACAACGCATGTAAATGTAAATTTTGTATTTACTGTCACCTGGTAAATTCAAAATTTACGACATGACACACGATTACAATAATGGAAACAGACATGGCGAATTTCTCTGATTGTGATGACAAGCATTTTAACACTATATTAACCGATCCTCATCTCATGATATGTTTAAAATAACAAATTATTATGATTTTTTCCCTTTTTAATTGGAATGGTCAGAGGGAGTGACATTCAGCCATGAGTGCAAGTGGGAGCTTGAATACCATGAGCCAAACACTCTTAAAAAAGTTTTACTTAGTAGTCATTTTTTACTTGAAATAACAAAGATAAGTAATAGATAATTACTAAGCATTTACTTAAAATTTAAAATCAAATACTGAAATATATGTCAATTACTAGATTCAAATGTTTTACTTGATTTTTGTATTTTAAAGAATTGTTTTACTTACATACTTAAACGTTTTACTTAGTAATTTATATTTACTTAAATTTGTGTATATAAGTAATAACATTACTAGGTCTTTACTTACATTTTACCACTATTTACTATATAATTATTATTTTAATGCCCCCGTAAACGAATTTTCGGGGGTATATAGTTTTTGTCGTGTCCGTCTGTCTGTCTAGCTGTCTCTCTGTTTGTCTGTTTATCCGCAGAAACTTTAACCTAGCGGAGCTATGACTTTCATATTTCACACGGGTATTCCTTGTGACAAGACCTTTCTTTGAGTATCACCAAATCTGCCACTTTGTCCTTGACCTTGGAGTTTGACCTACATTTCAAAATTGGTAACCTTGACCATAACTTCTGAAGGGTTGAGGCAAGTGTTTCCATATTTCACATATGTATTTTTTGTGGCAAGACCTTTCATTAGATACCAATTACCTTGACCTTTTGACCTTGGAGATATCAAGAAATCCCAATAATTTAAATTTGCATATAAGAAAAGTTTAACCTTTGCTATGTTGCATACAGGGCGTAAGTGTTTCACAAACACATCTTGTTTGAATTTTATTTAATTGATTTACTTAAAACAAGAATGTATTCACTAAATCAAGGAGAATTCAGATCAGTAAATTACTTAAATATGGTAGTCTAATCACTAATTGTCTGTGAGGAGGAGTTATCTTTCTTTTAAATATTCCGGCATGTGAAAAAAAGTAACACTAATTAAAATGCGATATTAAGTACTTGAAATGTTTAACCATTTTTAAAATGGTCTTTAAAAATACACAACTTATTCAATTTTTAAGGCTTTCTTAGTTGGAATCAAATGTTTCATTGTTATATATAATAAAACAATTACAAATAAATTGGCAAAAGAAATAGAAAGTATAATTGTTTCCACAATAAGTAGATTTCTTCTATTAAACTATTCAGAGGGCCCAATAAGGGAACTCTGATAAAGAAATCTGTGAGTAGTACTCACATGTCAGAGGGTCGGTACCTTGCAGTGCTTCTAGTAAATAATGTCGATTTTAGTAAATATGATAAGTATTTCATTTACTTAGTATTCTTTTGAGTAATAATATTCTAGATTTTTCAGAATTACATTTACTTAGTAATAATTCATAAAATTTAGTAAATAGAAAGCATATAATCTCTCGATTAAGTAATAATAATTAACAAAAATGAGTAGTTCATTTACTAACTTAAAGTAATACAATTCCTATAATTTGAGTAATTCTATTGATACTTAGTAAATCATTTTATAAGTAAATGAATTCATCCTTATTACTAATTATGTTTACAATTACTAACCATGATAGTCATTTACTTGCTATTCTGACTAAATGGATTACTAATAATTACTAGTTTTTCATAATCTAATATCTTATTTTAAAAACAACAAGTAAAACTTTTTTTAGAGTGAACTACAACATGTTCAGTTTCTAGAGAGGAGGTTTTTCGAGTAATCCCGAGTGTGTTCAAAGACTGTGATAGACAATTTTGACTCGGCTGAGTCACTGATATGATATCTGAGACCCATTTATGGGTCTCTGTTTTTAATTTAAATCATGCATGTTTTACCAATTTGTCATGTTTTAAGCACGAGGTTCGACAGCCTATTCATGTCATTTTTATTCATTTTGCATGTCTGACAAGCTCTTATTAACAAAAAGTATGTGGTCATAATAGCCAGTTGATGACAAAGAGACGCTGCAAAACAATGCAATGCCAAACAGAGGAAAATATACAACAGTATAAGATGGAGAGTTACATTACAATCTTAAATACTGGTCAAAATACTCTTTCTGCGGCCGATTTTCCAGACACGAGTAATTTTTTGAATAATTAGCAGTGAAGTCTGAAAATAAAATGGATGTCAGAATATATCTCCATTCTCTAAACATGCTTTTTTAACGAACTTCAGGCATATGTCTATCTATGATATAGAGACTCACGTTCTTTTACTTTTACATAGTAACTTCATGCGTCTCGTTGAGATAAATGTGGATGAAATTTGATATTAAGGCCTAGATACCTCTTGCATCTGCATGTTTTAATTACTTGTAAATATTTGATTAATATAATAAACTTAATATTGACGTTACTGTTTTTGTATTGTTTGTTCTTTTCGAATTAAACCATTTTGTGATATACTGAGTAGAAAGGCACAGGACTTTTCCAAATACAGATACATGTACGCTTTGCGATGTATTCATACAATTTATGCAATGAATTGAAAATTGTCATTTATTTTGATCTAATAAATGACGAGACAAATCGTGCAAAAATACTAATTAAACAAATTGACAAACATTACACAATCATAAAAAAACATGTGCATAAAATTAACAAATACATTTTATTAAGCCAATTATCATAGGTGGGGCATAAAAAATCGCCCATACAGTTTTATTATACACAAGAACAAAATGATTTAAATCGTTCAATTTATTTCTCTCATCAAACATGGCAAGAAGATAAAAATAAAAAGCATTTGGGTGGGACGGTGGGAAAAACAAATCAAGATGACTGGCGAATGTATGTTGACAAGGCAATGCACGCTGGAAGAATGAAGGCGTGCGCAAAATTAGCTGAATCTGGTCAGTTGCTGATAAGAGATTATCAGATTACGAGAATGTAAACTGGCGAAGAGAAAAATCAGAGTTGTTCTTCTTGCCATGTCAGATGTTTTACATAAATCAATTTAATGTTGTAAATTAAGATTTTATGCAAATACACTGACAATAGTTTTGCTTCGTTTGATATTGTAAAAACAAAATGAAGAGAGTTTGAATTGAAAATTGTCATTTATTTTGATCTAATAAATGACGAGACAAATCATGCAAAAATACTAATTAAACAAATTGACAAACAATACACAATCATAAAAAACATGTGCATAAAATTAACAAATACATTTTATTAAGCCAATTATCATAGGTGGGGCATAAAAAATCGCCACATTATTGTGTTCATGATGAAACAATGAATACAATAAACCCCACCCAAAACTATTGTCTTCAATGAATATGATATATGGTAACATTCACATAAAGAATACAAATTACATTTGTGTTATACAAAAGGGCTTAAATGATTTACAAGTAATGGTCAGCATTTCCCTTTTAAGAATTGTCAGAGGCCCTTGTCCTCGTGACGAAACTGTTCATATAATTCATGCAGCAATAAGTAACAAAATGCTTTCATGCAAAGCTACATTACCCGTTATGAAGTCAGAGGCCCATGTCCCCATGACCCAGTGTCTAATTTCAAGTGACAACAAATTCTCAGCCATAGATCACTAGCAATTGTGGAATCAGAGGCCCGTGTCCCCATGACCCAGTGTCAAATTTCAAATGACAACAAACTCTCATCCATAGTTCACTAGCAATTGTGGAATCAGAGGCCCATGTCCCCATGACCCAGTGTTAAATTTCAAAAGTCTGAAAGTCATTACCTACGGCAACATATATACAGATTAACCGAACGGAAAACGACTGTTCAAAAACCTGCTGACCCTCACCTATGCGTTCGCGAAGAAATAAAGAGGTGAAATACTAATTTATACTATTTGATCAGAGACCCATGACCCCATGATCAAATTCGTCTAAATATGAAGCACAGGGATTCTTATGTACTTTTTAAAAGCGTCGGAATGCCATCTTCCCATTCGTTTGATTTTTTCCTCTGAAATTCCCATTGCTGCAGCGCATGTCGCAGCTCCTATTCGAAAACTGTGGCCTTTATAATGACTCGTATTTAGCCCTGCCCATTTAAGAGACATTTGCAAATAATTCGTAAAATGTTGTCTTAGTAACCCATCACCATTTGGATATGCAAACAAAGGGCCTGGTGACTGGCCTCTAACTTTAAGAAATAGCTGAATAGCCTGAACAGGACAAAATTGCTCTTCCGATTCGTTTCTTTGTAGAATCAAAGTGGGTAAATGTTTGCCTGCACTATGTTTGAAGTTATCCATTGTAATCTCAAGGGATTCACTGGAATTTAGTTTATCCGAAACGAGTTTTACATTGGCCAGATTTAATACGTTTTTAACGTTCGTAGAAGACGAAACTGTTATTTCACCAACCCTTAAAAAAGCATGGAAAGCCAGCAAATACATTGCCCTTAGCATACTGGATTGATAGGCTGAAATGCCTAACTTGTCTAAAGAAGTTACAAGCTGTTTCAGAATTGACGTTGTTATGGGCAATCTTGTGTCACTTCCTACAGTTTTTAACTTTTGATATCCCTGTAGCATTTTGCGAATTACAAATTGTTGTGATGGATCTTCAAAACCTTGAATTTTGAAATTATAACTAAGAGCCGAAATGTAAGTTTTCAAGGTTGATGCTGCGATGTTACTTTGAAAACAAAAAGCTATAAAATGCGCCAAATGCTCAGTAGTAGGAGGCAGTAAAGAGATATTAGGAAAGTAGGTTGACATAAAGTCAGCGTAAAAAGCAAATGTTTTTTCATAAGCTGCCCTTGATGTGGGAGCGAGGGAATTCTTCAGAATGGCTGTTGCTATATCTTTTAGAGTGTTAGCATTGTTGGGTGAACTGCTGATGGCACTGGGTCCATATTTGTACATAGGTCCTGAAATTCCTGGACCTGCAAGCGAGAAAGGCGATCAGCAGCTACATTAAGTACACCTGGAATATGTGTTGCTTTGAAAAGAATATTGTATTTTAATGTATTTACTATGAAACGACGCATTAACTTCATAATTATTGGGTCTGTTGAAGTTTGTTTGTTAATGATGTATACCACTGCAATGTTATCTGAATAGAAATTAATACAGGAGTTCCGTAAATCAGATGCCCATAGTTCTAAAGTTATCACAATAGGAAGCAATTCTCTGACTGTAATGTGAAACTGGCACCACTCTTGTGGCCATTCTCCGAAGAACCACTTTGTTTTAAATGTACCCCCAAATCCTAGGTCACTTGCATCCGTATACATACATAGTGTTTCAGAGGTTTCCCACCTATCATCTAATATCAATGACCTACCATTAAAACTATTGATGAAAACAGACCAAGCTTCAAGATCAGCCCTAGCCTCTGTGTTCAAACGCCGTTTGAAATGGGGTAGTTTTAAGCCTTTTGTGAGGTCGATTAGCCGTCGTAGGAAAGTGCGACCTGGTCGGACAGCCGCGCAAGCAAAGTTTAGTAATCCAATCAAAGATTGTAATTCTTTTAGATTTACTTTTTTTCTGTGCTTAAACGAATCTATTGCAGCTCTTAGCTTATCGAGCTTATCCCTTGGCAACCTAACTTCCATAGTTAGTGAATCGACTTCTAGACCTAAAAATGTTATTGTCGTTGTGGGATACACTGTTTTCTCGTTCTTAATTGGGATACCTATGTCATTACATAATTGAAGGAAGTTCTCTAAGGATTTCAAACAATTGTTTGAATGAGCTGGTCCCATAAAAAGAAAGTCGTCCAAAACATGAACACAGTTAGATTGGTAGTGGTATTCCATTACCCAATGCAATGAAGAACTAAATCTTTCAAATAAGTTACAGGAGTAACTTAGGCCCATTGGTAAGGTCTTGTCGAAATAAAACCCACCTCCTACTCTAAAACCCAACAATTCGCGATCTGATGGATGGACTGGAATGATTTTAAAGGCATTTTCAATATCTGTCTTTGCAAACAAGACCCCCCTTCCAAGTTGTTTTAATAAAGTAGTCGCGTCATTGATGGTTTGATATTGAACCGAGCAAATATCCTGCGGAATCCCATCATTTATAGATTGTCCCTCGGGATAAGATAAATGATGTATTACTCTAAATTCCCCTTCTTGTTTTTTGGGTACTAAACCTAATGGTGAACACTGAAAATTGTTGAATGGAGCATTTTTGAAAGGTCCCGCTGCTCGACCACAAGTACCTCATTATTTATTTTTTCTTGAAGGATAGATAAATTTTGATCAGCTGATTTTAAGTTATTACAAAACCTCTGCTCACGAACACCCTGGAAAGGAATTTTAAAACCCTCTGTAAAGCCATCAACTAAAAATTTTTTGTCACTCTCATTGTATTCTGATAGCCAATGTTGTAACCGTTGAGGATTCACGGGAGTTACTATATCAAAGTCATTATTTTGTAAGTTTAAGGGTTGACTGTTTACTTTCTGATGACCCGATTTGGGGGGTAGATTTTTGCTTATTTTTGTTTGCTGCATTGGGGAGTTTTGGGGTTGATGGGCAAGTTTTTCTACTGTGTTCCCCACCACAGCGTTGGCATGTGTGGGAGAATCTGCAATCTTTTCTATGACAAATTCCCTGTTCGGAATTATTAAAGTTGTAGCACACGAGTTTATTATTCCCTGCCCTCCCCTTGGTACCCTGTAAGGTACGAAAAGTAGGTTTTTGTGTTACTCCCTTTAACTTTGACTGAATACCGGATGCCAATGCCTCTTGGTACAATTGGCGTTTAATTGGTCCCATGGGAGTTTGGTTGGAGATATTTCTCTCCACTGACGAAAAGTTTTGTCATACTGAATGGCTGCTGATGCAGTAGACTGGTCAGCAAGTTTTTGAACAATAGACGCATATTTCATCAATTTTGTGGCATCATTTGTGTGCCTCTCGCAAAATATACTAATGAATATATGAAAAGCTTTCATCCATTGAGGAATGGATTCAATCTTAAGAGGGGTGGATTTTTCCTTTACAAATGTTAAGCCATCATCACCCTCTTCGATGGAAAATTTTACTTGTTTTTCAGTTGGCTTTAGTAAAGTGCCAAAATCGACGAACTCGTTTGCCCATATTATTGATTTAATTTTAGAATCAATGCCTAAGGCTAAAGGCTTTGAAATACTTTCTGGGGCTTCAAGGAAAGTGTTAGAAATACCCAGATTAACCGTAGGCTCCACAGCGCTGTCATTGGCCGCTTTTCCCTCAGGCGCTGAAGGACTTGGCATTATAGCGGTGTCAGAACTAGTCTGTTGTTTGGATATTTCATCCATTACCGCCTTCGTAATATCAGGAATGGCTGCTTGTATTGCGTTTTGGATTTTATCCACGATTTCCTGGTCTTTCGACGGTGCGCTGCGTTTTGGTTGAGACTCTGTTGGCTCCGCAGCTTTTGTCGCCCGACTCCTTTTTCTCTTAGGTGGCATGTTCCTACCTTGAATAAAATACGAAACTTAAGTGATATCATACAAATCACATGCTTGTTGTAAACTCAAACCAACTTCCCGTCAGGAATCTTCGCCTGATTACAGATCCGCTTGCCCTGGCACAATGAAGATGTACCAAGCGCTCGTGTAAACATGGCTTTTAAAAAAAAATGCCTGACAAAAATGATTGAGTCCAACATACATGTCTATGCTCAACATGGTCATATCATAGCCATAGTTGAAAGCGCTCATACTCAATTGAATTCGTTGAATAAAAGAAGACATAATAACTACTTAATGTACGCATATGCACAAGTGAGTAACTGAAAGTGTTTGCACACAAATCATATTTGTATCAGAACATATCGTACATTATCATAGTGCCCGAACATAGAAACATAATACACGTGCGTACATACAAATACATAAAGTATGTGCCATAGCACATTCCTAACCGTACGTGTATCAACATATATATGAGATGCATTAGTGCCAGCTCACTGTGCAAACTCATACTTTCGGGAATGTACGTTTACAACTGTGCCAGCTCACAGTGTATCTGATACCAACATAAAATGTTACCACTTGTACTGTACACAGTTTAAGTAGCGTATTTTTTATCTATGTTTATGACATTTCATATAATTGAGATCTCAAATACAACATGCAGTAATTAAACGCAGACATACTGATTACCATTTATAATTATAAACCATTGTCCACTAACCGTATAAATAAGACTACTCATTACATATTATAATTCATAATTTGCTAGAGATCATGCAGATGTTGAATAGACTTATCTTTTTTAGTTGCTAATGAACCTGAATGAAAATGTGCTGCTTATGTTGACGGACCATACATTGTAGATGTCCCTGCTACCAATCTTATTTTAAACATTGGATAATTGCCCCACGCAAGTTTCTGTAGTAAATTCGCATGCCCCATTCGTTGTTCAGATGGACTCCATCGCAAAATACTGGACGCTGGCTGTTTTTGACACCTTTTATATTCCAGTACTGCAAACAGTTTTTTCCTAACAGCCCCCTCTTCAGTATTCTATTGAATTTTATTACTAGTTCATTATAAATATTTATATCTAATACCCGTGTCCGATATCTCGGCATCAGTTGGCAAACAATTATCTTTTTAATGTTGAAACGACGGGCAAATGTTTCCGCAATACAACAAAGTCGTAAACATAACTCATAAGCGTATGTTTCATCAGCCGAAGTTGTGTCCAGATCGTTACCACCTAAATGTAAGATGAGAAAGTCCGGAGAAACGTGCCTAAGTTTTTGTTCTAACGCCTGCAAGTGGGAATTATTTGTCAGCTTTCCTCCACTTATACCATAAAATGTTACAAAAATGTTTGTATTTAAATTCAAGTTCAGAAATTCTCGATTTTGATTTACATAGTGCTCAAATCTTTTAACATGTGAACTTCCAGCAATCAAAACAGACGCCATTTTGACTGTTTACCGCAATGCATCTTGGATGCTGGGCAATATATAAATAGCCACAAAGTTCACTGGGTCATTCATGGTTCCAAGACCGGTGTAACCGTGAAAACTGTCGCTAGTGCTCAGTGTCGCTCTTAATAGAATATATAGGGAAAAGAGCGACACTGAGCACTGGCTTCTGCGCATGCCTAGGGATTTCGGTCGCTTCAAATCGAAGCGGTGTCCCACTGAATTTAATTCCATGGTAATAGTCTCCAAAGTCGTAGATTTTTATGTTTTCTTTGTTTATTTTAATCTTAAAAGAAGGCAAGACAAATAAAATTTTAAAATTTTAGAACTTTTCATTTTTTTTTTTTACCTCGTATAGAATTATTAAATGATCTTTTAAATTTCTATATTATAGAGAATAAACGGCTACACATTTAATCGCGGTAAATTGAACAGATACTTGTATTTAAAAAAAGAAGAAAAAACATGCCACAGTCCCTCAGTCATTTCTTAATAGGTGTGAACCACGCCGTGGGCGTTATCTCAGACAGGTGTCAAAATTACCTGTATGTTAATAACTAACAAACATGCACAGCTCCCCATGGTCGATTGATAATTTGATACCAATTAAAGGTGTGAACGGAGGTGAACCGAGAACTGAAGTCTAGTAACGAACCTTAAATATCTATAATTTATCAAAATATAAGTTGAAAATATATATAAGTTCTATCAACCAGTTTTTATTTAGCAGATAAATAACGAGAAACACGCATAATTATGAAGAATGAGCATCAGTGAAAAGTGTCGCTCTTCAAAATGGCACTTTCATATTTTCTCAGACCTGATTTATGTATCTTCTATAAAACAATTATACAGTAAAATTTCTCGCCGGTTTCAGTTGATATATGTTAGATGATTTAGGTATAATTTAAGAATTCTAGAAGAAAAAAAATGTAGAAAATAATTATTTTGAAATAGTGCTGAGTGTCGATCTTCAAAATGACAGTTTCATATTTTCTCAGACCTGACTTATATATCGTCTGTAAAACAGGTATACAGTAAAATTTCAAGCCGGTTTCAGTTGACATAGATAATTTAGGTATAATTTAAGAATTCTAGAAGAAAAAAATGTAGAAAATAATTATTTTGAATTAGTTATGAGCATCAGGGATAAGTGTCGCTCTTCAAAATGGCAGTTTCCTATTTTCTCACACCTGACTTATATATCGTCTGTAAAACAGGTATACAGTAAAATTTCAAGCCGGTTTCAGTTGATATAGATGATTTAGGTATAATTCAATATTTCTAGAGGAAAAAATCGTAGAAAATAATTATTTTGAAATAGTTATGAGCATCAGTGCTGAGTGTCGCTCTTCAAAATGACTGTTTCCTATTTTCTCACACCTGACTTATATATCGTCTGTAAAACAGGTATACAGTAAAATTTCAAGCCAGTCTTACTTGATATAGATGGTTTAGGTATAATTCAATAATTCTAGAGGAAAAAATTGTCGAAAATAATTATTTTGAAATAGTTATGAGCATCAGTGCTGAGTGTCGCTCTTCAAAATGGCAGTTTCCTATTTTCTCACACCTGACTTATATATCGTCTGTAAAACAGGTATACAGTAAAATTTCAAGCCAGTCTTACTTGATATAGATGGTTTAGGTATAAGTCAATAATTCTAGAGGAAAAAATCGTAGAAAATAATTATTTTGAAATAGTTATGAGCATCAGTGCTGAGTGTCGCTCTTCAAAATGACAGTTTCCTATTTTCTCACACCTGACTTATATATCGTCTGTAAAACAGGTATACAGTAAAATTTCAAGCCAGTCTTACTTGATATAGATGATTTAGGTATAAGTCAATAATTCTAGAGGAAAAAATCGTAGGAAATAATTATTCTGAATTAGTTATGAGCATCAGGGATAAGTGTCGCTCTTCAAAATGGCAGTTTGTTTCATACTAGTATTTAGGGGAATTTCAGACTTTGCACACCGGCGTTATAATACACAAAATAATTCAGCTGATCATCTTGATAAATTACATTTCCCAAGCTTTCTTGGAAGGAAAGATATATTCCTTATCAACAGATTTGAGGCCCAGTTTAGTAAATCTGCACAATTTTTTATGCAAATCTGCAAATTAGGGAACTTGTAATTTTTCTGCACTACTTTCTTCTCCTACCGATTCTAAAAATAATTAGTGGGATGTACTAAGTACACAACATACTGGTATTCCTAGGCATGTGAATTACTAGTATTGATACTTGTATTATATTATTTAATGTCATATCATTTCATACCCGATATTCTTCCCGTTTCATTTATTGAGTTGCATTCCTGGTATATATCTTACTATATTGATATCGATTATTTTTTATTGAATATGGTATAAATTTAATACCTTGTAAAAGGAACGATGTATCGTCTGCAGCGTGTTGTAGGATTTTTATTCTCTAAGCACGAGTTCTTTAGTAAAGCCTATTAATTCTGGCGAATTGTGAATCTTTTTCGACATTGTTTCCACTATAAATAAAAGAAGCAGTGTTGAGACTGGACACCCTTGTGTCATTTTGCATTTCTTCCCATCTTTTACACTTTCTTTCGAACTTGTGCTGACATTTTACATAGCAATTCCCTATACATGTACGGCCTGAAGATTATTTTTAGATAGATATGATGCATTCCAGTAAAATGCGTTATTTTGATTTTGAATCTGTGTTCCTCTAAAAATTGACGCTTTCTAAATATGCTGCATCTGAATCTTGCACTTTAGTAGCATAAGACGAAAAATGGGCGACCGGTAAAGCAGGTGTACCCCAGTCTTCAATTGCAAGAGGTTTTAATGTTACGCACAGCACCATTTGTTACGCACAGCAACGATAAAATATAAAAATGCAACACCAAATTAAATGTTCGCAAAAATACGAGATACCACGTGTAATATCAGCAGCAAAGAATCACTTCAGAGAAATACTAGTACGTAAAAGTGAATGTAAACAGTGACGTCATCTACAGCATGAATTATCCCTAAACTGCAAAGACCATCTAACAATACCCTTTTCAACTGACTAAGACATTGCAAAAGGATTATCCATGCCAGTGTTCTGGTCCCACAGCACCCCATGCAAATATCTACTTCAAAGATCTCAGATCAATGGAGTATGACCACAGCATCACCATTGAACATTTTGGTGTAGCTAGTCCAGAATGTTTATCAGAGAGCCTGTTATTGAAGTGCTAGGGTTTCGTAATGAACATTAGACAGAAAACTGCCTCCAGGATGTTAAAAAAGTTGATGGTGGTAGTTTAGTGGAATGAAAAACGGTATTATACAAGAGTAAGACTGACTTGGTTCGTATTTAAAAGGTCTTTGATGGTAAAAGGTACTCTATGTTCTACCTGAACACGCCTATTCAATTTTGCAATGACAACCTCATTCTTGCAAAACAACAGAAACCTGATTCTGCAATTGTCACCTCGAGATTTAAACCTAACTAAGCAGCATTAGACAAAACAGAAAGACATGATCCATTTGCCAAAGACAATCACA